ACATTTATTCAGGGTCTTCACTATAACACCTTATCCTTTCGCAGCATTCTGCACCAAAAATAACCCCAGTAATTATATTTTTTTAGTCTGGTTGAAGGAAAGAAAATGGTTGTGTTAGTCTCTCTCCATCAAGTCTCCCTGTTAATTTGCAATGGTCTAGTTCAGCCGCCTTTGACAGTGGGGTGGAAAGCCTCAGAGATAATTGCTTTCTGCAAATTTCATGAAAATAGGTGTCTGGACGAGAAAGGATACCTGCTTTGGTTCTGTTCGGGAGGGAGAACCAAGAGGATTCATCTCCCATCCCAGGAAAAGCAGGAGGGGAAATGGTGGGAGACTCCCAAGGTGTGTTCTGGACCTGGCAGAAATACAGGTTTACTGCAGTTGCAGGGAAGGTGGGAACAGGAGATATAGGATGGCAATTCACAGGAAAATTGATTTTATTAATTACTCTGTTCATGAAAAAAAAATATTTTTTTCTTATTCTGTTCTTCAGTTGTCATATATTTACCTGTCATGACTGTGATTTTAGCACAGCAGAGAAAATATTTTTATTATAATTTGATTCTTTTACAAAGCCTGATACAAATCCCTCACACCCCACTTGCCTTTTGACCTTTGCATTGTCCTGTGAAAACATTCCAGCTTTTTTTTTTTACAGAGCTCCCACAAATTTCTGACTGCTGGGAGCAGAAATTGCCTTCCTTGTTTCCGGCCTGTAGACCTGAAGACTCTCCTCTTGTAACCTCTTTATCTGGGTCCTTCTGAATATGCTTTTTCTTGACTGACTGCCAAATTCTTCACTGGAACATGGAGTTACAGCTCAGAGAAGGAAACTCTGTTTCAGTCAGCACAAGTTTTCCCTTTACTAATGTTCTGGTTCTGTTCTGCTGTATGTTTCTGAATCTATTAGAGACTGTGCAAAGCAGATGCATTAGTACGTACGATTACAGCAGCGAGTTACATGGCAGGGTTAATGCTGCTTCCGGGTTTAATGCTACCCAGGCACTTAATCACGTTTGTGCCCTTCAGTCCAGTTTGTTATTTCCTGTGGATACTGACAGCAATAAAGCAGGGTCTCATCCTAAAGAAGAAATACAGGTTCCCACTCCAATCTTACATAGAATAGGAATTTCCATCTTGTACGAGTCAGCTGCAAGACTGACGGCGAGAAGTGAGATATATAAAGCTGGTAATGTGTGTTTATGTCAGATGATACCTTTCAAGAGCTTAAAAGGCTTGTCTACCTGTGTAAGTAAATTCCTCTGTTTTAAACTTTGAGTTTGCTTATGGAAACTGCATGTACTTCATTATTTTCATTGTAAATACTGATTTGTTTCTTCAGCCTTGCCTGAATACCCCTAAGAGAGGCAGAATGTTTTATTTTAATCCAGTTTAAGAGAGTTTTATGTATTTCTCCCCCCCCCTTTTTTTTTTTTTTTTTTTTTTTTTTTTTTTTTTTTTGGTGTCCTTGCTGTCGTTGAACTTTTTTACAAATATGCTCTTATCCCTGTTCATTTGGACTGCTTTAGTGGCCTGTTTTCTTTCTCTGGGCATTTGTCTCTGGCAGTTTTTTAATATTTCTTGCGTTTTTAATTTTCCCCAAACGATGTCAGTTCTCTGAGTTTCTGTAAGAAGAAAAGGTGACCAGTAGGATTCAAAGGTGCAGAAAATTGCCAGCAATCTTGTCTTGACCAACGGTGAGCTTTTAGAATTACATTTCTGGGGTTTTAGAAAGTTGCTTTTTTGGGTCTTTTTTCTACACTGAGCTATCTCTTCTCTGCTGCTTGGCTTTATTTCCTTCATTGTTTGTTTTGGTTTTTGTTGTTTTGTTTTGGTTTTTTTCCTGTATTCACTTTTCCTTTCTCCTTTTCACTTTTGTTACCCTCCTCACCTCTCCTCTCATCTGTCATTTTCCTTGATTTTCTTCTTGATATCTGTGCAAGAGAATCTTTTTACCCTACAAATGTTTGCGCTGACAGTTTCAGAGAGTAAGCAAAACATCTAATGGGTGGCCCTGACTTCAAGTTTGTGCAAGTTTTTGTTTTGCATTATGTCCTGAAATGAGCAACACCTTAATAAATGCACCGAATCTTTTCTGATGAGGTTACATACAGTGAGACTTCCCATGGAACACTGGGACTGTAGAACATTTTATTTAAACCCTGAATAACCATGAATACATTTATTGTAAGCTAAAACATTGCTGTGTTTGGCAAGCCTGTATTTTGAGAAGGGTTTTGTTAGGGGACTTAGAAAACAGTTAAAAAATTTTATTATGACTGTAAGCAAGTTTACTTCTGACACCAGTGACCTCAGCAGGGCTCTGTGATGCAAAACTGGAAGGATACGAAGGTGAATCAGTCCCATTGTTTCTTTGTGTACATCCCAATAATTGCGCCTGTGGACTTTTTGCAATACACATATAAAAAAAATGCAGGCAATTACCTCGCCATCTGCAAACACTTTCCTTCCACCCTTTCTTTGGTAGTAATTTTCTGGGAAAGTACAAGGACAGCACTGAACTCTACTTACATTCCCCTATTGACATATCTAAAGTGGAACAATAATCTGTTTTTCCACCTCGCCCCTCTGTTGTACTGTCTTTATTGGGGCTATTAGCTATACCTAGATTGAGATCATGTCATACTCTTAGAGGCCTCCCACAGAGAATGTCAGGGTAGGGCAGGAAATATCCTGATTTCCCAAGTCATGGTCTTTGACAGGTGACTGTGTTTTCTTAGCAAGCTGTTTTCCCTGAAACTGTTATCAACTGTGTGTAAATAATACTCTGAGCAAAATCAAGAGCCATCAATTCCTTGGCAGATGCTTTTATCTGCTGCCACACTTTGATACTTTTAGTTCACCTGTTTTGATAGTCACTAATTAATCATTGTAAGCATTCAGCTTGCAGAAAGGAAAACATAATTTTCAGTCAGGATTATTTTTCTTCCAGTCTGGAGGAAAGAACAATTAAGAAAATGCAGAATGTTTTCTGTAAAACCTACTCTGAATAAACAATCCATTTAAGCCAGAAAGGTCTTAGAAACAGGAGGACACCAAATCCACCATAGTGGTAGGCCTCCAGTACACAGAGAAGCAGTATTCTGGGGGGATAACAAAGTACTTTGAAGCCAGAGCATGCACATAGTTACAGAAGAAAGAGGACTTGGGGCAGGAAAATAGTGCCAGCTGTTATCTGATACAGTTAGCTCTGGTAGCAGATCATTGATTTCAAAGACTTAAAATTGATTCTCAAGTCCTTTGTTCCTGCAAAGATATTTATTGTCCTGCAAAGGAATTAATATTTGTGGTTGAATTGTTACTGTGAAAAAAAATTGTTTGTGTTAAAGTATACTCTAAATGATTATGGGGTCTTACAACTGGTGACAAAGCTGCATGTATTCCTCCTGGATCAAACACGATGCTTAGTCATGAAATCTGAATAGCCATCTGTTCAAGGTTACCAAAGCAAAGGGATCTAGTCTTTTGTTCCAGACCTCTGGAAGCTTGCACTGGGAACTGAATAAATACCAGATGGAGAAAAGAAAACAAGACACTTCTGAGAGGATGTGTGAAATAGGCTCTGATAGCAACAGAGAGAGGAAGAGATGAACAAGTTTCTGCAGGTAGGCCTAGCTGGGCTTGGATCAACAAAGTCCTGAAAAGGGGAAAAAACCCGCATCAAAACTGGAATTACACCATGGGCCACAAGACAAGCTGTGAACTACAGGATGATTTTGGATAAGCTTAACATATCTTGATTTCAGGGCAAAGAGTGCAGCTGTCATAGTGGAAAAACTGAGGCAGGAAGTAGTGCACAGTATTATATCATTTTCGTTTCATTCTGTGTACTGCTTGCTTTACTAGGTAAAATTTTGGTAACTTGTGCTGAGTTCCTCTGTGTGTTGAAAAGAAGAATTATACTGATCATGTGCCCCTCTACAAAGAAGTCAGAAATTAGCAAGTCAATACTTTTGGTAATGAAAAGTATTAAGTAAATATTGTGAAGGCTGTGGGAAAGATGTTATTGTGCTCGCAGCCCAGCACTCCTGCTGCCAGGATGGGTAGCAGACGTGAGCTCCACCTCAGCAATAAGTGTGTAAAATGCCTACAAAGAATTGTTATAGAAACTCCTCCAGTCTCAGCAAGCTGAGGGACCTCTGTATTTGGTTCTCCTCATGGGAGCTGGGGGAGGCCTCAACAGTCAGAGGTCAAGAAGATCCATTAGGTGAATGTGGGTTAATAGTATCAATAAATCTAATATTATGTACTAACTTTTTATCATCCCTGACCTGGGAAAAACCTGAGGTAGGTGGAGTGGTAGGGAACTACCTAAATAATTGAATAAATACATAATAATTCCCTTTTCTGGTACTTTACTTTTGTTGCAATTTCTTTTGATGCAGTGAGGAAATCCTACACTGGTAATGACTGCTATGCCACCTTCTCTACGCGGTATCACTGAATGCGTTGTCTTAATAATGTAATTCTGCGTTTGGACTAATGATGCTGTCTTGCTTTTTTGTTTGTCTTTCATGTTTTTTTCTGACTACCTGGCAGTTGTAGGAGTCTTTAAGTATCTTGGAATATGGTGGAAGCAGTACTAATTGATCTGTTCAGCCTACCAGCGAACTTGCAGAACAACATCCAAGGATTACTATGGAACATCCTGGAAACTATTGAGAAATGCTCTTCCATCCCTGCTCCATTTGTTTATGTCATGTGTTGCCAGAAGCCAGGGAGTGAAAGGAATGGTGAACAAGAGTCCTTGCTTCCAGCTCTGAGAGATTTTCAGAGTCTGAAGAAAAGACTAGAGGTGGTATGTGCTCTGACTACAGCTGCTGCTTTGTACACCATCAAACAAAGACTGGATGAAAAAGACCTAAGCATCATTAAAGTTATTCTCCCTACCTTAAGAAAAGACTTAATGAAAGTATATATAGACCATCTCTTTACAGCAGTCTACCAATTTGAATTTGAGTATTTACAGGTGGCATCCCATTGTAAAAACCTACAGACAGCTGAACCTCCGAGTGAAAAGCACACTCTTCCTACAGAGGACACGGCACTCATCCAAAGTGAGATTCAGATGTACTTGGAAAGCCTGCCGACCCTGAAAGGGGAGCTCACCATCCTCAGGTCTTCCCTGATCCCAGGTAAAGAGAATCCCAGCTAATAGATTTTGCAGAGGCTGTTCCCAAGCATACTTCTTCAAGGGAATTACAAAATGGGTAAGATTTGGAAATGTCTTCAGGCAGCAAATAACTCTATATAATGTTGTAATAGTGTATCATGTCTGTAAGAGAAGGAAGTGTCTACAGAGATACAGCAGAAGACTGGCAAGTCTATTTCAGGCCTGCAGCACTATCAGCTGAAAGAGAGGCCCAGGTTTAGTGAGGGCATTACTGCAGAGAGTGAAATCTCCTCTCCTCTGTGTGGGAATTACACACTTTGAGAGTTACCAGCATCTTCTGGAAAGGCAGGACAGGATTTTCTCCTGGTCTGCAGCCTCACAAATGCCTGGTTAATCGGACTGATGTCTCAGTGTCCCTGCCATGGCATGACCCGGTTTACTACAGCAAATCTCGAGTGGTGTGATGATGGGGTCTCATGGTCCAGAGGATTCAGAGGAAAGCTGAGAGGTTTGCTACTGCAAAAATTTGTAACTGTCTTTCCCTAAAAATGTGTCTGAAATGGTCCAGAACTTGAAAGGAACATGAGTCACTTAAAGCCATCTTTGCCTTCATTGTGCTTCAAGTTTTTGACTGTGACTTTGGAAAGATCACACTATATAAAAGAGATTTTGAATTTATCAATCTGTGATAATGTCACTAAGCTTGTCAGCTGTTAAGATAGCAAAAATACCAGTTGTGAGACTATCTTTCTCTGTTCAGCTTTGCCATGCAGGCTCCCTCACCCCTGTTACCCTTACAAGCAGTGATTGCATTTGATGCATGAGACCACGATAAAGAAGACCACATGGTAAAAAGATTTTTAATATTGCTAGAAATTCTCAGTGCTTTCAGTGTACTTTAGAAAGATGCTTGACATGCTGTGAAGTCTTGAGAACTAGTACTTCATTTGCCAAAAAAGCTTGGGAGATACCATGTTAGAACGTTGCTTTAAAAAGCTACTCTCATTTCCTCAGTGAGTTACCTCTTTTCTAGAGTTTGCACTACAACTCTGCAAAAATCCAGGCTAGACCTGCTAGGACTCTTTCTTGCTCAAAATCCTCTACCTTGACCTCAGAGGATTACGATTATGAGCAACAAGGAAACTTAGAATCCTTAAATTTAAATGCCACAGCTAAATATGAGGTAAAACAATACTCAACTTGATTGTCTGATTCCAGGTCTCTCCAGTATAAAACAGTTTGATATTTGAACTGATCTTGTGTTGAAAGCAATTGTCTGTTGTTTTTTTTGCTTTGATAGATGATATCTTCCTCCATGGGTTCACCACAAGGACAGGTGGGATCTCATACTTACCAACTCTAAGCTCCTGCAATCTCTTCAGCAGTTCCAAGCGGAGGGACCCACAAGTTGTTGTTAAAGAAAATCTCCGACGGGTAGCGAATGCTGCAGGATTTAACCCAGAGACTTTTCACAGAGTCAAGGTACCTTATCAAACAGTGGATTTATGTAAACGAATCAGATCTTCCTTCACATATCACTGGCTAAAACTGTAGGTATTATTCTTACCTTTCTCAGCAAGAACTTGTGAGAAGCAGGACAATTAAAATATTTATGCTGGCAGTTGATCTCTGGGAAAAGACATCCAAACTATCAGCCATTCGGCACTATATGGGGAAGAAGCACTGTTTCTTCCAAGAATATTCTAACATTTAACTTATCACAGAGTAGGATAATCAGATAAATGATCAGAGCAGTATCTCTTAAAAAAAGAATATACCGCCACATCTGTGGTGGTTTTCTACTGATACATCTGCATGGCATTTGAACAAGAGAGAGCCTGATTTCCATGCATGAGCAGTTGGTGCAGAAGAGTGTTTTGTGACAAAGAAAAATCCTTGCATTAGTCAGAACTGTGTTTTTTGCTGCCATATCACTGTCCATGTTTTGGTTTTGTCTTGACAGATTGATCACGCTAACGCTGTGTATGTTATGGGAAAGACAGAGCCTGACAGCTATGATGGAATAGTTACGAATCAGAAAGGTGTTACGATAGCAGCTCCAGGGGCTGATTGCATACCTGTGCTGTTTGCTGATCCTGTCAGAAAAGCCTGTGGTGCTGCTCATTCTGGTAGGAATTTTAAATCACAGAGATCAAAATAACTAGAAGACCACTGGAAAGGGAGTTTTAGACTAAGGATTTTAAGTTAGCAACCAAAGGAGCACTGAAAGAATAAATGTAACATCACATAACAATATAGACCCTGACTTGTTAAGTTTATCTCCTGCCAAAACGAGATTAGTCTTAAGAATAGTTTGTCTCCCAAGCTATGGGATTTATTTTATTTTATTTTATTTTATTT